CGTGTCAACATCGCGGTATACGGCCGAGCATTATCATGCTGGAACTGTAGACCTGGGCCATGAGCCGCCATGAAAGGAACGAGTTCAGGAGTGAGCACCTGGTCGCCGTAAGCAGCAGCTGTGAGGTTTCCACGGATGACCAGAAGTCGGGAACAGTTGTTCCCACAGAAAGCACCCCACACCATGCAACTTCCGCCCCCGAATCTGTCGACTTCCTGTACACAACATTGGGCATACCGTTCACGACGTCGTCTCCAGACTCTATGCCTGCCGTCGGCGAATCTGAGGGTAAACCTGGATTCATCGCTTAAGACGACTCGATTCCAGTCTCTCTGGGTCCATCGGAGGTGACGTTGAGCCCACAGCAGACGTTGACGTTGATGAAACGGCGTCAATATTGGCCCACGATATGGACGTCGAGAATGGAGACTGGCAGCCCACAACCGATTTCGAATGGTCTGTGAGGACAGTCGACCTCTAAACATCTCAGCCCTGGTTCGTGTAACCGGCAGAAATCTGTCACGTAGGTCACGTAGGACGATTTGACGGTCTTCTGCTCGTGACGTCACACGTGGACGACCCGACCTTGGGCGATCAGAAGTGGTGCCAGTTTGTTGTAGACGACCTCGCAAGTCATACACAGTACGACGGCTGCATCCCAATGCTCTTGCGACGTCAATAACTGATCTTCCCGCTTGCAACATGCCAACGGCACGTTGGCATTTCACAATCGTGGCATTTCAAGTACCATTAGAACTGTGGTTTAAAAGTGTTTTTTCAATTCTTGAGGCCAATGCAAACACGTGCATATGAAGAAAACTTCGGTGCGAAGATGACGTGATCGACTGCAGGTGCAAAACCTGATTTGGCACTAACGTCATTTGCACGACGAATGGATGGGTTTGAGTGGGTTTTGCTAACGTTTTTCTAGAGTCGAAAGATAGGGATCCCATTTCGGATACATAGATGTATCATCAGAGAAAAATTATTCATTATTTTTTAAATTACATTTTGTGAAGTTTCTTTTTTGACTCAGTATATTTACCCTACCCCACTCCACCACCCCCTTTTCTAAGAACATATTCAAAACAATCGGTATGCAGAGTAGACGTATTGAATAATGTTTGACTATCATCTTGTATCTCGCACAAGAAAAGCGGACGAGGCTATTGTATCGATGGGAGCATGCCCCTAATCCGATCCGTTCCGTATGACTAGTGGCCGTATGAGAAATGGGCGTATGACTAATGGGATACAACCACTCGGGTCCGAGTCGAGTCTGACCCCTCGAGTACACGAGTCAAAGAAAATGAATTCGTTGAAGCCCAATTACAGTTGGATAAATAAATCTCAGCCGTGCAAAGCACAGCCTGCCTTACTGTGTTAGATGTGTAGTTGTTAAGGGGCGTCACGGTCGGGTATAGGGCAAATGCTGTTCGAACGCCCAGTAAAATAACTAAGAAAAAACAGAAGGCAGGAATGAATGACTTACCCGAACAGTCTTATGTCTACCACTTCTCTTCTGCGTGTGCTGTGAAGCGCTCAGTTTTTATATGGTTGTCAACAGTAGCGTGAATACCCATGACGTGAGCTCCTCATTAAATGTTTAAGCTACGTTGCATCATGTGGAAGTTTCCTAAAGGGGCATCCATCTACCAGAAACCGTTCAACTATGTGCATCTGGGTCTCGTGTCGTTATCAGTGACTAAATAGCTCGTGACCCACACAACTGCTACATGTTGCTCAATGATAAATCCACCTGACACTAATCAGCGTTCGAAATAGCTGCTTGCCCGACCATCCGGGACGGGTTATTTTCAACACGACCTGCCAGATTCTCAAATTCACCTGCCCGACGGTCGGGTTAAAATTTAGACATGTACATGAAGACATTTTGTGGGCAGGTAAGTTTTGGTCAGGGCTGGCAAGTTTTACAACTAACCAACCCTGTGGTCGGGCTGAAATTTTTGGAGTTTCATACACTGCACTAATCAAGTTTGCAGAGAGACGTAAATCGAACATGGCCTCTGAAGGAATAGCAAACAAAAGAGACTTCGACATATTCAGACAGATTCACCCAAGAATAGAGACGCACTCCGCATGGAAGCTATGTAAGCTGTACCCCCATATTACAGTTCACACTTCCATGTTCTACTGTGTGCCTCTGTGAGTGAGTGAGTGAGTGAGTGAGTGAGTTTTACGCCGCACTCAGCAATTTTCCAGCTATATGGCGGCGGTCAGTAAATAATCGACTCCTGACCAAACAATCCAGTAATCAACAGCATGAACATCGATCTGCACAACTGGGAACCGATGACATGTGTCAACCCAGTCAGCAAGCCTGACCACCAGATCCCGTTAGTCGCCTCTTACGACAAGCATGGGTTACTGAAGGCCAATATTCTAACCGGAACCTTCACGGGTCGTGTGCCTCTGTGAGGAGCTCAACATCAGATGTACTTATCTTTTTACTCACACATTGTGAAACTGACCTTCCTTAATTCCAAGTCAAGGCCATTCTCTCAACAGGGATGCAATGTCTATTCCCTATTCGCCTACCTGTTTTCTGTAGGCAAAAAGGGATGTAGGCGAAATGGGACTCAACCATCAGATATACTGTGCTGTAAGTGAGGACTGTTTTACGACAATGTGACTGTACATGCAGTAACAGGCTGTGACCTCACGATGACACTCCGCGACAATCTCTGGACAGAACTAGCCAGTATAGGAAGTCTGGAGTTTAGTGTGTATCTGCACAATATATCAGATCTGGACATTAAATGCACACTCCCAGCTGCTGGGAGTACAGCCCTTCTGACACTCTGGGTAATGCAGAAGGCTGCAGTGTTGGGGAGTCTACATATTCTCCGGAAAGTTCTACTAGGCAGTGTTTCCTGGGAGAAGTCCCATTCGCTGTCTGGGCTGCTTGTAGAGGGTGCGAGGGTCCTGAGCTGGTGATGAGCCTTACCAGCCTGACTGTGCCAGGATCACCCAAACCCTCTCTTCTGCATTTTCATCTTAATCTGTAAAACATACTTTATTTGTAAATACCCACTGTGGAGATGCTCAGTGGCGCTGTGGCAATATTGAGGAAGGCGATGGTTCATATGTGTATTACAGAAAGGCAACAGTGAACAGAGAGGTATTTAGCTGAGATTGAAAAGTTTCGATGAAGTGTTCGTGATTTGTTTTGGAGGAGAGTTCCACAGTGGAGGGCTGGCAAAGGTGAAGGCTGGGTCAGACAGTTGGTTTGGAGATCTGTGTTGGGTGAGGAGACAGTCAGAGGAGGACTGGGGATTTCGTTGGGGTACATACACGGAGACGAGTAGTTTGAGATAGTCGGGAAAGTTATTGTTGTAGAGGCAGTCCAGTCTAAGTAAACCTAGGCTCAATATTATTCGTTACACTGCTATACTGAGTCTAACAAAACCTAGTAGAAGGTCGCGTTAGCTAACCTTTAGGACTGACCAATCAGAATACAGCTTACCAAATCGCGAAAGTTAACATTCGCACATACCGTTTGAACCTTTACCTCAAAAACTCGAACGATTCCGAATGCTATTTTCCGCACGATCGCTTCCGAGTGATACACGCAATGAGTAAACAGTCGCTAAAAATAGCGTTTTTGTCAATATTCAAGGATGTCACCTTGCGAAAATATAAGCAAATAGTAACCATGTCATCAGAAACCCATAAGCGTCATTCGTGACCAACTCGTGTTATACCAGGACAAGACGAATAGCGTCTTCTTGGAGGTTACGGAAAGAGGCGAGTGATGACGAATGGAGGTTATGGAAAGAGGCGAGTGGTGACGAATGCCATAAGCGTATATACTGCAGGTCAAATATCTCTGTTTTGTGCGGATTTTTGTTTGTTGATAGATCAGTGTCAGCGATCAGGGAAGAAAAATCCCAAAACCGTTTTGTAAATCCCGCCGAACCCTAACAAGTAGTCGGACTGGGTGAATCCGTTCGGCAGTCTCCCGTTTGATTGGGCGGTCATAGGTCGCTGAAAGGTTAGCTGACGCGACCTTCTACTAGGTTTTGTTAGACTCAGTATAGCAGTGTAACGAATAATACTGAGCCTAAGTTTACTTAGACTGAAAGGCAGTCATGAGTCAGAAATTCTTGCAGAGATGGGGAGCCCGTGTAGAGACTGTAGTACTGGGTGATATGGTCATGACGAGGAGTGTGGGTGATACATCTGGCAGCGGAATTTTGGATATTAAAAATATTTTTCGAACCGAAACGAGGGAAGCACGTTGCCAACATTTGCTAACTTCGCTCGCATATAGAAAAACTGGTAATTTTTCTCTCTGCTGCGCAACCCAATTGCTCATGCTGTTGATCACTGGATTGTCTGGTCCAAACTCAATTAATTACAGACCGCTGTCATATAGCTTGAATATTAAGAACAATGCCATTTAGAAAGTGGTCAAATACAACATATGTATACCGCTCAGCCACACGATGGAAGCCGCGGTGGTTGGGCGTGTTGGGCGGCTGACTTTGTGTGCTGCCGACTAGGTGCCTGACTCTGAGGGTGTGGGTTCGAATCCTGGATGGGACTCAATAAAAGTACTAGAATCTGTACTTTAGGGAGAAAGTGGAATCCCAATATAACATATGTTACAGCTGGAATATTGCTGAGTGCGGCGTAAAACTAAACTCACTCACATTATACATTAGAAAACACTTGTATGAATGTCAACGTCTTTATTTAGAATACACTGTTGAAGTTCGCCAAATAACATCGACTATGTATCAAAGCTTAGTTTGCATCAAATATTAACTTGCAGATTGGACAGTTGGATGTGTTGTTTTGTATAGTTCAACATCATGGTAGATCAAATGAAAGTGTTTGAAACATCAGGAAACATGTTTTTACTATTTAACATCAAATTCAAGGTTTGAAATATACTATGTATTAGAAACTGTGATCGTGGGCCACATGGATGTTTATTTGCGACCTGCAACCAGTTGACATCGTCAGTTTCTTATCTAATTGTTTTCGTCTCCTTCACAATTTGGCTCCTTGCACCCGCTGGTGAAGTAGCCTACGGCTGCCCCGCCTGCGGCCATTGCTACCTTCGTTCCTACAGCTACACCAGCAGCCCCTGTGACAAGACAAAAGTATTTCATAATGCAAGATAATGGCTGACAACATATATTTGATTTACCAAGGTCGAATAAAAATACAAGAATGTTATTAATGATTATGTGATTAATAAACTAGGAGAAGCTCCAAATGTACCTGCAGACTGTGCTACTGCAACGAGCCCCGCGCCCACTCCTGTCGTCGCAGCTGTAGACATCGCACCCGCTGCCAGGGAGCCTGCTGTAATCCCTGTTCCTGTGAACCCCATTCCTGCGAGCCCGGCCCCCAGAACAACTGGACCCAGTACCGCACCTCCTACAGCTCCAACCACAACAGCGGGGCCCACGCACCACGGGTCATCCCAGAAACTCTTCTCCTTGTCCTCTTGAATAAATATTTCATGCATTAGGATTCTTATTCTTCCAAATTGTTATTCGGGGCTAGGGAGTAAGTCAAGATGACAAAACTGACGACCTCGATCTTACACTTCAGCCACAAACATGTGAGAACATTCTAGTTCTGGGAGTGTTAGTTCACATTGTCTGTATTCACTGTGTTCACATTAGTTTAAAAATGGAATAATCATTACACATGCCACATGTTTATTTATAGTTTGTCGTCAGACTGACAAACGGTGACGGTTAAGTCCACGTTTCATCAAACGTGCTCCCCTGACCTTGATCTTATAGGTAACCGTAACATAAGGCGATAGAAATCTCATCTTGAGGATAATGTTCATTAAGAGGCTTGTACACCTTTAACATATTCCATTTATATGACAGATATTTTGCCATTAAACGCGCTCGGTTGAGAACACCATTTGCGGCCACCCTGGTCAAATTTGAGCAAATACATTCTGCATTCCCATTGTATCTGAGAGAAGCTGAAGTACCGTCAGTACAGCCGAACATTGTCGTGTGAAGAAGCTGAAGTACCGTCAGTACAGCTGAATATTGTCATGTGAAGCAGCTGAAGTACCGTCAGTACAGCTGAACATTGTCGTGTGAAGAAGCTGAAGTACCGTCAGTACAGCCGAACATTGTCGTGGTAGGAAGCTGAAGTACCGACAGTACAAGCAAACCTTGTCGTGTGAAGAAGCTGAAGTACCGTCAGTACAGTCGAACATTGTCGTGTGAAGAAGCTGAAGTACCGTCAGTACAGCTGAACATTGTCGAATGAAGAAGCTTAAGTACCGTCAGTACAGTCGAACATTGTCGTGTGAAGAACCTAAAGTACCGTCAGTACAGCCGAACATTGTCGTGTGAAGAAGCTGAAGTACCGTCCGTACAAGCAAACATTGTCGTGTGAAGAAGCTGAAGTACCGTCAGTACAGTCGAACATTGTCGTGTGAAGAAACTAAAGTTTCGTCAGTACAGCCGAAAATTGTCGAATGAAGAAGCTGAAGTACCGTCAGTACAGTTGAACATTGTCGTGTGAAGAAGCTGAAGTACCGTCAGTACAGCCGAACATTGTCGTGTGAAGAAGCTGAAGTACCATCAGTACAGCCGGACATTGTCGTGTGAAGAAGCTGAAGTACCGTCAGTACAGCCGAAACATTGTCGTGTGAAGAAGCTGCTTCCTAAGGGAACATGACAGGTGGTTGTGAGGGTCAACTTACCTGTGCCACGGACGCCCAGACAGCTGATGAGGAGCAGAAAACATACGACGTCCGTTCGCAACATGTTGTTACAAGTGATTGTAAATAGTCTGTGGATGAAAGACAGTTGTAAACAATACTGTAATGTGTAAATAGGTGAATAATGCCAAAAAAATGTCCGTTCGCTTAATTCGATGTGAAGAGTTGCGTCCGTTTGGTGAAACCCTAATGACCACATCTGAACATTGAAAGAAGACTTTCACCAGACCACCGAAGATGTCCAGAAATTGCGTGCTGAAAAAGATTATGCATGGACTTGGGAGGGTGACAAAATTCAACGAATGTTCAATGAAGAGACAATAAATTCACTAAATCAAATTCGCGTAGCTATTGAAAATCAACATATTGACGACTGTGAAACGTTCATCACTTCACAGATTACGAGGCTTCAGAAACGAAAAAAAAAAATGATACAAAACCAAGATTTGTCAGAGAGTGGTAAGGAGACAGTTCGGAACTATTAATTTCCATTGAAATTCTCCCGACCCTCCCATACCGTCATCTTGCTATTGCCCGCCGCGTAATAACATACTCTGGAATCGTGTTCCTCAACGAATGCAAACAGGAACTAATGGAGGATTTACTGTATGCATGTTATTTAATTCACATATCCATGGACACTTTCAATAACGCTCTCACGTTAACGGTGCAAATGGCTCTCGAAAATAATGAAAAAAAATTCACGTTGTATTTGAGTGAAATCACTTATTTTGCCAAGGTAACATATTGGGCTGCTTAAATCTAACGGGAATTCAACAAGAATTGAAAACTTTTGAAAATATAACAAGTTAACAAGATAGGTACACTCTTAGAGAATCCTAACACTGAAATGGTCGTTATAACAAGGGATAACCACCTAAACCGATTAAAACACACACCTAGAAAGCAGTCATGGCCCGTATTACCAAGCTTTGGAGTACACGTTTCCTTAACATTGTAACTGTGTTCTTGCTTGATAGACTAACTAATCCCCAGCAAGTACAGTGCAGGATAAAACATACTGAACTTACAAACATTGTCCAAACTGTGTGAAAGCAAACTTTAGGAAAGCAGGATACACATTAAACAAAATACCATGAAGTGACAAATACTTCAAATCCTCTGAAAGTTCAATCACAAACCATAAGTGTGTCGTGTATTTAAGGAGGAAACATGGTTTTCCAACCACTAAATATAAACCACTATATAAGTAACGAACATTTCAGACAACGCCATCTCTTCAGAAACACTGTCTTGTCCTCAGATGGACTTAAACTGGGCAGATTTCAAGATACTGAAACTGAAAACAATCATATAACGATTCAATAAGCATGCCTGGGATCGATTATTTCCCCACCTTTAACAAATGCAACATTTTAAATATGAGAATATAAAGACTTTCTCCACATATTTGGAATCAGATAAATGTCTATTTCAAGCGGCTCCCCGACTGAAGCTCACCAGAGACCATATAATATCTATATTATCAGTGAGCTGTTTATCAGAGCACGCTGTACGACAGAGCACGCTGCACGACATGTTTGCAAGGATTAGAAGGAGCGCAGTGTTGCAATATACAAGTGGTTAGATATATCAAATAATACTGATTAATATCTATGTATCGAGTTGAATGAATTTGTCTCAAAATTCTGGACTGGTTATTGTACTAAGTTACGCAATAGGACGGAACCCAGTCAGCAGGAAACGAGACTGTTGTGTAATCAGTGTTTTGACTTGAACACATTCGAATCTCCATTTGTTCTTGTAGATGCGGTCAGGTTGAAGCTTAAAGCCACACTTAGTTTTGAAGCTTCGCCCGCATCCATCGCATATGAGTGTCGTAGTTGTGGTACTTGTGACAACTTGTAACGATTTAAAGGAAAGGTTAGACTCGCCTAGGGCCTAAACATTCATTTCTGAAATGAATTTAATCCGTGCAGTACACGTCGAACTGCATGTTCACTTTAGTATAGCACGATTTATTTTCCTAAATGAGTGTTCAAAACATAGCATATGGCGTAACAGTGATGTAATTAGTAAAGAAGTTGTCGGATAACTGAATCTTAACTATGTACATAGCTAGGACTTCAAATTTACCTGCAAATGTTCACAAATATCCACCCGGAACTGATATACTGAAACATTATTTATGATACACCAAATAAACATGCAAGTCTTTGATAAATTACCTTTTCCGAATACCTATCACAGGACTCAGTCACTCTGTAAAGGCACAACTACCCGTACAGTCACAGCCTGGGACAGTAGCAACTACCCTTACAGTCACAGCCTGGAACATTAGCAACTACCCGTACAGTCACAGCCTAGGACAGTAGCAACTACCCGTACAGTCACAGCCTGGGACAGTAGCAACTACCCGTACAGTCACAGCCTGGGACAGTAGCAACTACCCGTACAGTCACAGCCTAGGACAGTAGCAACTACCATACAGTACAGTCACAGCCTGGGACAGTAGCAACTACCCGTACAGTCACAGCCTGGGACAGTAGCAACTACCCGTACAGTCACAGCCTGGGACAGTAGCAACTACCCGTACAGTCACAGCCTGGGACAGTAGCAACTACCCGTACAGTCACAGCCTAGGACAGTAGCAACTACCCGTACAGTCACAGCCTCGGACAGTAGCAACTACCCTTACAGTCACAGCCTGGAACATTAGCAACTACCCGTACAGTCACAGCCTGGGACAGTAGCAACTACCCGTACAGTCACAGCCTGGGACAGTAGCAACTACCCGTACAGTCACAGCCTGGGACAGTAGCAACTACCCGTACAGTCACAGCTTTGAACATTAGCAACTACCCGTACAGTCACAGCCTGGGACAGTAGCAACTACCCTTACAGTCACAGCCTCGGACAGTAGCAACTACCGTACAGTCACAGCCTTGGACAGTAGCAACTACCCGTACAGTCACAGTATGAGACAGTAGCAACTACCGTACAGTCACAGCCTGGGACAGTAGCAACTACCCGTACAGTCACAGTCTGGGACAGTAGCAACTACCCATACAGTCACAGCCTGGGACAGTAGCAACTACCAGTACAGTCACAGCCTGGGACAGTAGCAACTACCCGTACAGTCACAGCCTGGGACAGTAGCAACCACCCTTCAGGGTACAGTTTAGTTTCAGTCAAAACAAAGGCTTGAAACATTCACAATACATGCATTCGGCATGTATATAATAAAACCTGCATGCACAGGAAAACTCTGTATGAAAGAAACCATCTATATCACTGTATTCGACACATTTACAAGAAAGCTTCATCTGTCGACACACACACTTTAAGCCGGTTCTATTCAAAATATTGTCTGTAATTACCGTGAACGTGAAGGCTGGGTTGTCCCTGGAACACTGTACAGTGGAAAATGGGTTGTTGCAGAGGTACAACATCCGGTTTTCATGTACAGTCGAATACCCCCTGTGATATAGTATGACCAGAATTTATTGAGAATTTTAGGAATATATTTAATTGGATTTCTAGTATAAACAACCTTGACCAGCTATCAAGTGCTTGGTTTCATTCAAGAGAGACAAGTCCGTTAATCCTTTTTCATTAGTTTGTGAAGAGTTATCCCCCTTTGTTTACTTGCTAGCAGACGACATTTTCAGTGATCCTCAGTATGGATGATTTAGAGAAGAGGAAGTTGATTTTAGAGTATTATAACAAGGACATCAGATAAGCTAAAGTGAATTCAAGTAGAACAGGCATCCCTTTGTCCACTGTTTATCGTGTTTTGAAAAATATTGCAAATGGATATGGCACTGAGCACCAGGGAGGCGCAGGTAGGCCCAGAAAATAGACTGTTGGTGACAGGAGGCGGCTTGGTATTCTTGTTTCTAAAAACTAATGAAGGAGTTTAGAAAACTTAAGGCTGGATATGATTGATAGAGGAACTGTGTCTGTCTGTAAGGAGACAATTAGAACTGAGCTGCATGCAATGGGTTGACAGAAAAGTCGAGGAATTCCATCACCGATCATGAAACCTGAACAAAAGGAGCGAAAGTTGAACTGGTGCTTACAGCATAGAAATTTTAACTGGGACAATGTGATTTTCTCAGATGAAAGTTCTGCGTGGCTGTTTCCTAATACACTGAAATTCTGGACCAAACAAACTGAAAAACCTTAATATCAGCGCCCAAAGTACAGTCCGAAATTTAACGTGTGGGGTGGCATATCTGTGTTAGGGGCAACGCCCCTCTGTGTATTTGAAGGGAATATGAACAGTGAGCGTACACAGATATTCTCGAGGGACATTTACTTCCATCTGCTCACGTGTTCTATGGAAACTTTTGGATTTCCCAGCAGGACAACGACCCAAAAGATCGTTCAAAGCATTCACAGGCCTGGTTTCGGACCCAAAATATGACATTATTAGATTGGCCAAGCTATAGCCCTGACCTAAATCTAATAGAAAATGTTTGGGAAATGTTGAAGGAAAGTGTCAATAAGAAAAATCTGACAAATATTGCTGAAATGAAAGAAGAGGTGGTCCGATATTAGGACAGCATGGACCACGACTTTCTAACTTCTTTGATCAGTAGTATGCCCCGCCGCATTGAAGCCTGCATTGCTGCCCATGGTGACTTGACAAAATACTTAACTGTTCACCTGTCTTTGAATCTGGAGTTATGTTCTGCTAATATTTTTTTTTTTTTTTTTAATGTTTTTATGTATTTCGAGTGCTCGGGTTGTGTCAGCCCATTAGTCATGCGTCTTAATAAACATGGTTGATTGCTCGTATATATGAACCCGTAGTACCTCTGTAGGTAAAGTGAATTATCCATATTCATGAAACGAAACAAAATGAATTTAACACGAGTTTATTTGAGTCAGTCTCCAAATTTGTGCATATTTCATGTAGGCATGTTTTGTTTGCTTGTTTCACTTTGAAATGTTGTTGATTACGTTTGTAGTATTCTGACTATGCAAAACATAAATTATGCTACCTAAAAGACATTTCATTTATCATATTTAACTCTTTTTATTAGAAATTTCAGGAAATTGCGTCACGACAGTTACGAA